ACCAGATTAAATTCTGGCAATCTTCGGATTTGGCCCTAAGAGTAGATATGGGTAGGACTAGGGCCAGGGTTATGGGGGTAAGGACCCGGTAGAGAGTTTAGATAGTGTTAGTAAGGTTTTACGGCGCTCGCAACTGCATAAGTTCACATGAGCGTCTAGGGGTGGATGTCAACACTACAGAAGTCCGAACGGGAAATCAGACTTACTCAACTCTGTTCACCTTCTTGCTTCAACAGCACAAAGTCTGCTTCGACTATCAAGGCACCCCGGAAATAGAAGTTCACAAGAGAGTGACAAACATATAAAAGAAGTAGAAGAAAAATGACGATAGTAAGGATGATATAAAGAAAAAGCAGCAGTCCCCCTATGTTGTTCTGGCACAGTATGAGCATGAATGGCCTAGACACTTCAGTCAGTAGCACTGGTTTGGGGGTGGGGGGGAGGGGGAGAGGGAGGGAGGGTAGAGAAAGGGTCAGGGGTAGGATTGTAGGATAGTAGGAAGTACAATCATAATTGGGGAAGAAACTGGATTATCCCCAAATTTTCCTTTCACTTTCACTAGCACTGTTAAGGGAAGACCCGGGTCGGCGATCCTAGGCAAAATCGATACAATTTTTCAAACTATCCAACTTTTGTTTTTTGCGGAAAAACATCCTTTGACATCTGTTCTAACGAGTCAAAATGAAGAAACTGTTGAAAAAACACCCTAAATGACCTAAAAGGGCGTTTGAAAAGTGCAAATTGCTCTAAAAATCCTTTTAAAAATCCCTGTTTTTTTTTTTTTTTCTCAAAATCTACTTTTTGACGTATGTGACCTCCTGGGTGCAAGGAGTTTTCAAAAACTGCAGAAGCTAGAAGCTTCAAATTTGGTGTACAGGTGCTTTAAGATCGATTCTGGGGGTCTATGAATTGATATATATATTGGTAACTTGAGTATATTCAATTTTTTGGTAATATGTACCCCAAAATTTCGTCAACTGACTCTAGGGGGTCCAATGACTTTGGGCTCACCTTTTCAGTTTTAAAGATAGGTCAAAATCCTTTCATAGATCCCCAGTTCATATAGGTTTGTCCGTGTGTGCCAAATTTCAGACTGATAATTCAATATTTACTATGAAATTCTTCTGCACTAAGAAACTGGCATGAAAATCCAAGATGGCCACCACAGAGACCCATTTTTTAGAAAAATTCAACAATTTCACCCTGAGTACATCCTATTTACCTATGAACTTCTTGCACAATTACATGAAATTCAATAAAAGTCATTCGTTTAGAAAAAAAATTTCCGGGAGTGTACGTCTCCCTTTAACCATAAACTCAATCTAGAATCTAGATCTAGATCTAAATCTAATTCTGATTAGTTTTGATCCTCCTTTTTAACTATAAATCAAAGTTCAACCTTTTGCAAGGTTTTCCAAGAATACCTCCCAGGTAGTAAAGAATGAGGACACTGACAGAGTGAAAACCTTTGACACTGTTTATCATATATGGCAGGTTTCACAATTTGGGTGCTCAGCATTTCCCAAAATTGACCAAATATGAAGTGTTATAAAACATGACATATGATATACTGTTTGAAAGCTTAACATTTCAGGATACTAGAAATGCATATTTTATGAGCGTCAGCTCATCGCAGTGTGCGTAAGAGACAGTCAAAGTTAACTCCCCCTGATTCTCACTAAATGAAGAAGCTTACTGAAATCTCTCTGTAAATCACATAAAGTACACAAATATAACACAAAAATATTCACAATCCACCGAAGAACACCCAAACAGCTTACATCGGAAGAAAAAAAGCTGGAAACCTAAGATTTATACCCAGATTACTCAATTTGTTACATAACCCTGCAGTTAAAATAAAAAATTAAGTATAGTATTCTATAATTGTCAAACTAAGCACAAAACTTTCCTGAGCTCTTTGTAATATGAAAAAGTAATTTAAAATGTACTATAGGACAAGTTTTTAGGAAAATTCACAGAAAGATAGCCAAGTTAGAGGCAAAACAATAATTTTTAATTATTGGGTTATCTCCCCTGAAAATGGGAAAAATATCATTTGAAAGGTTATTTTGCCAAAAATACATCATATAAACACAGAAAACCAATGGGAAATTAATATTAAGTAACAGTGTGTGGTAAAAAAGAGAACACTGTGTACATTAACCCTTGGAAAGGTGCATTATTTTGCCTCAGAAGCAGAGTAATTTTGAGATTTTCGTGATTTCAGGGGGGTTATCAGAAATACTCGTAAATTCCTTAAATTTATACAAATAAAACCACAAACCACACATCACTGTACTGGCAATTGAATACAGAAAAGAAACACAAAAGCAATAAAATCCTCAGGAAGGCTTAATTAAAAATAAATGTGTCACAACGCGGTCGGATCAGGCCTTCGAATTTTGGACATGTGGGGTTATTGGTACCATCTGAAAGCTTAATTATTTTTGTCTTGCTTTCGATGAAAACAATACCCATTAATTTCGAAGAGAAGTCAAGATATTTGCGATTGAAGGGGAATAAAAGGCGTTGAGCCAAAAAACAAAATTTTCATAAAAATTGTCAAACACTGGCAGAAAATTGCCCGCTCCTTCGATTTCACTATTTTGACAAGTGCCTGATTTTACCACGATGCCTCACATTATTTGTATGGCAGAGATGTGAGTTTGAAAGTGGGGGTCTTTCAGTTTTGTCACATTGTCAAGTCCTACTGTCAGGTGATTAACCATGTTAAAATCATCGGTGATGTTGTCTGTAGTAATATAAATTCATTGTGTGTGTCATGAGTCGGTTATGTCGTCATTTTTGTTATGAGAGACTACTGGATAGAGTGTCATCTGCCTCTTACAGAAGTGGGCAGACTTCACTACATAAAGGTAAGTTGTTTTTTCTATTCTTGGTAAAGTCCTCAACAAGAAGGACCTCATCAGCAAATGAAAGGAGTAGACAAATGATGTACAATGTACACTTCTTTTCTAGCATACATCTAAATTGCAAAGGGGTAAAAAAAAGTCTGTGAACATTGTTTCATTGGCCTTATACATGATCTCACCTGCAAAGGAGAAGAAATTAACATGTAGGTGAACTCTTCATTCTAGATCTAGTATCAAATGTTTTAAAATTGAAAAATATTCAGAAAAGAAATCTATAATATCTATGGCCTGCAAAAAAAAAAAATAATTTTTATAACCCCAAGTCCAAACTCCATCAAGACTGATTGTAAGGCCTACAGCAGCCTAGACCCTAACTAAGCAATACAAAAAGAATAGACTGAAATTGCCCTCCAAGCTTAAGTTAAAAATAGTAAAAAGTGCCAAAAAATAACCCACAAATGATCTAGATCTAGAAGAATGTAGATAATGTAGCCTAGATCTAGATCTAGATCAAGCTCTATTTTTCACCTCAAAAGTCTGTCAAAGTTCCAATATTCCTCCTTTCAAATCATCAAATTGCTTTTTTTTGTTAAAGTAGCGAAATTACATTAAGATCAACAATAAATAACCCACGCGAAACTGAAACGCGCAAACACATTCTTTCCGACGCCATGCGATGTCACGTCCTTCCGAATCCGTCACGGAACTTCAGTGCATTTTTTACCATCAGCGCGATCGACCTCGAATGTCCATCCGAATCTAGAATGTTCGACACAAATTGCGCGTTTGCGATGTTCTTTCGATCGGGATGATTTACTTTTCCCTTTGTTTACTCCATTCTTGTTTTTTCCATCTAGTCTTATATCAAAGTTGATTGAATAAACACGAAACAGTATCAGAAACTCCGATTTGATAAGAAAATGCGGAATATTAAAATTTACGCAAAACTAACATTCTTGTCGATCGTCATTAGGTCGATTGCCATCGGATGGACAACATTCTAAACCCGATTGCGGACGAACCGTTCACACAAGATGTCCAGACCAACAGCGAATATAATGTATCCGTCCCCGCGATTACAGGAACAAGGAAAGAATTGGAGTTTTCGGTCACGTGGTATCGATAATAGCTTTCTTTGTTCCCGGTCGATCGTCATTTACTGTCGGACGGACACGGGTCACGTGAGAATATCGGCCCATAATTTCCTAACCAATGACTAAAAAACGAACTTTTTTCGACTTACACGCTCAGAATAAGTGTTAGTTTCACATGGGGGCAAGTTTTTCACGGATTTCATATAGAAAGGTAGGTTTAGATGGCATTTTGAGAGCATCCTAATTCAGATGGACAGGTGTGATAAAAAATACTGCCCAATTATCGATCCCTAGCCTAGGTCTACGGACATGTAGGCTTGAGATTTGCTGTTTGAAAAACTTTTCAAGGCTATTTTCCAAATTCTACACAACAATTTTGTGGAAATAAGAGTTTTTGGCCTTATCCAGATGAGCTATCTGACTATAGACCTAGAAAATGGGAAATGGTGTCCTTCTGAAAAGTGACCCATAGACAGCCTAAGATCAGTCATAAAAAATGAACAATAAAAAAATCAACAATTTTTAATGGTTTTCTAGTTTATTTGAAGCAAACACAACACAAACACAGTTTGGAAAATTGTTTATTTCAACAAAACATAAACTTATAGGCATTGAAACATCTCACCACCCCAGTGCGCATAAATGGCGCTTTTTCGGTAGTTCCCACCCCGCATTTGTTATTCGCCGGTTTTGTGAAACCTGCCATATACAAACTGCCCTACGTGACCCTGACCAAGTCAGTAGGAACAAGATAGGTCTAGATCTAGATTTGAACTGTCGTTCTGGACTAACACAATTTGAGGGAAGCAATGTGCAATCCGTTGGGCAAAAGTAAAACATGATCTTGGATTTATTTTTTTTAAAGAAAAAACCGTCCGATGGCGATGCGGCGATGGTAGAGATCAAGACAAATGGATAATGGGCAGTGCCGCAACTCATTTCATTCCACATCTCATTTGAAACAGCTCATATCACCGCTTCGTTACAGATGCATGCAAGAAGCAACGATAAACAAGAACAATTCCACAAATACCTTATAGGAGTCGGCGATGAGAAGGACACTGTCTAAACCCGCTGCTAGATCAGCCATTTTCGAAGCTTGAAAATGACGTTATAGCAACAGTGCATCCCTATATAAACTTATGGACTTAAATTTAGCAAGAGCGGGCTCCGCGAAGCACGCTTTTTCAGGAACAGAAGTGGAGTGCCCAGGGCCAAGGCCAGGGGCCACATTAATTAAAATTCTTTTTTCCCCATGAATTAAATCAGGAAGAGGGAATAAAACAAAAATCTTGCCAAAAGAAGGGAACACGGAATTTTATTTGCCAATATTTTCTTTAGATCAATAAGCTACAAATCTATAATAAAAACTCTTGCCCAGAGTAAAAAAAAGCGAGTTTACACCGCTGACAATTTCCATGGCGGGTTGTTGAAATCAGGGGAGATAACCAGGAAAATTCCGCCTTTTAAATCTAGTACTTTCAGTTTCCCTTTTATTTTTCTTAACACTAATACAAATAGATTATTTTTGTTCACCATAATTTCAAAAGAAGTGATCCAGCTTCCTGTGTACAGATCCCGAACAATGTATGCGCCCAGAAACCAGACCGTTTTGCATTATTCCCCTGAAATTAGAACAGCTATAAATCTGTGCATAGTACAAAATATCATCAGTTGATGTTACAAATAACATTACAACTTGCAACAACAGAAAAGCTCTTTCTTTGCTATAAAAAATCTATCATCTCTATCTCCCCTCCTTCTTTTTAGTGTTTGTTACTCTCTAGTAACACCTCTAAGCTTAGGCATGTATATGACCTTATTGTGTTGCAAGTACCGTAAAACTCTGGCTAAAACTAAAACTAAAACAGCAGAAACGTTTTCAGTGATGACCATAGTCTCTTGAGATGACACATCTTCTACTTCTACATCAAAAACAAGGATTCTAAAAGCCAGTACTAAAAGGAACACAAATTAGAAAAGGTCGGCGCACTAATTTGACAAAGGAACCAAGAGAAATTTAGAGCAGACTCGCAAACCTCAACTATGTTAGTTTTAGTAAGAGTTTTACGACACTTGCAACACAATAAGGTCATATAAGAGCCAAAGGTATGAGGTGTTACAAGAGAGTAACAAACATAAAAAAGAAGGAGAGACAAAGATGACAATTGTTTGATGAAAGAAGGAGCAAACCACACTAGAGCACCCGCCAACCACCCACTCAACTTTTATGAGGCTGGCCTACAGTTCCCAGCTGACTGTTGGGTTCCCAAACAACGACTCCGCCCCCATCTCTGTTCTGTTTATTCGCACATTCGTTTTACAGGACTTTTAGAATGCAGAATATGTCATTGATGAACCTAAGAGTTTTGTTTTTAGTAAGTGTTTTACGGCACTTGCAACACAATAAGGTCATATCAGTGTCGAAGATTAGAGGTGTTACAAGAGAGTAACAACCAAAAAACAAGGAAGAGAGATAAAGATGGTAGATGTTTGATAGGAAAGAAGAAGCAAACCACACCAGAGCACCCACCAACCACCCACAAGCCTAAGAGTAAGCAATTTCCAAACAAAAGCACATCTAGCAAGCAGGTACATAAATGTTCTTAGACATAGACATAATATTTATGTAGTTGAGGAAGTTGGGAAGTCTTTCAATAGGTCTTTGCATGCTGAGAGGAAAGAAAGAGTAAACCATAGCAGAGCACCTGTCAACCACCCACCATGTACATCAGTACAATTGGTCGCTTTTAAGCACAAGGGGGCTGTCCCATAAAACGCTGTTTTGAGAAAATCGAAGGTCAAGTTTTTGCCCCTTGTTCAGTTTCTTAAAAGACAAGGTAAGTGATCTCTATAACCAAACAAATACACACACCACTGAAACCAAACTTCTCCTATAGGTAGGATAATACCACAGAGTTCTACACTTATAGAACGGGAACTGTACCACGTGACCTGTGAGGAATTGAAGACCGAAAACAATGGCGTCTTGAGGGCACGATTTATCGTTTTCGGAAGTAACCCTATAGCTTTTAAAGCAAGAGCGGCTTTTACAAACGAGTGAAAAGTGGTACATTTACTGTCCAGTTTGTAATTTTGAGTTACAGAATTCACTGTGCAACTAGAGATTGGAATTAAGGTTTTAAATTGTTGTGTTTTTGGGTGCAACAACAGAAAAAGCAGTCATAGAGAGTTTATAAATATAAGATCTACAGAACTGAAAAAAATTCATAGCACTTCTAGCTTCCCACACACATTTTGCATACGCATATGGCCTACGTAGTTTTTTAGTAGTAAAACTTATTACAAGAAATTTGTATTACACTGAACATATTTTTTCACTAGATCTAATTAATGTTCTCAAAACATGCGTTCAATAATTAGCTTTATGTCGCCAGCAGAAGTAGAAAAAAGGACGGACTTGCTTTTAAAAGAGATTTAGCTCCAGCTATTAACTTTTTAAAAATCTGTAGAAACCATTGACTGGGATTTTCTTTTCTAATATTGGGTTAGTATTTTTTAAAGAGTTTTCTTTAAAGAAATTTCTAGAATAATATAGAACCTATAGATGTGTACAAATGTTTGAAAAAAAATACTCATCGGTTAAGACGAATTGATATAGATCTAAGTCATTGTGTAAAAGTAGGAGAATCTAGATCTAGGTGTTTGATAGTTCAGTAGCCTAGATATTTGATAATAAGTTGCGCATCAAATTTTTGACTGCATGCTACAGTAGTGAAGATAGCGTATTATTTTCATCCGAAACATTAATTTCCGCATCCATACACCTTTTTGGGCCTTTATAAGCACATGTAGTCCTACTTTAATTATGTTTTTGTTTTTGAAAGCATTTTCAATTCCTTTCACTTTCACTTCCCACGCGCTGGCACATATAATTATGATTATAATTTAAGATTCCAAATCTGACGAATGTATTATTAAATAGCGTATAATGCTGAGTTAGCCAATGCATTGCAATGCGCACTATTATCAATTATTGAATTGTAACAAGACTTCAATTTGATCCGTAACAAGAGACCACTTATTTTTTTATACGTGTTCATGAATGTGTGTTTGTTTACTGTGTGCGGGGATTAAAAATTAAAGATTAAAGATTCCAGATCTGACGAATGTATTTATAAAATAGCGTAATAGTGCTGGGTTAGCCGATGCCTTGCGATACGTGCTTTTATCAATTAATTGATTTGTAACAGGACTTCGATTTGATCCGTAACAAGACAACACTTATTTTTTCTTACACGTGTTTAAAAATGTGTGTTTGTTTACTGTGTGCGAGCATTAAAGATTCCAGGTCTGACGAATGTATTTATTAAATAGCATATAGGCCTATAGGGCAGGGGTGGCCAATGCATTGCGATACGCACTTTTATCAATTGATCGAATTGTAACAAGACTTCAATTTGATCCGTAACAAGAGGCCACTTATTTTTTATACGTGTTCATGAATGTGTGTTTGTTTACTGTGTGCGGGGATTAAAAATTAAAGATTAAAGATTCCAGATCTGACGAATGTATTTATAAAATAGCGTAATAGTGCTGGGTTAGCCGATGCCTTGCGATACGTGCTTTTATCAATTAATTGATTTGTAACAGGACTTCGATTTGATCCGTAACAAGACAACACTTATTTTTTCTTATACGTGTTTAAAAATGTGTGTTTGTTTACTGTGTGCGGGCATTAAAGATTCCAGGTCTGACGAATGTATTTATTAAATAGCATATAGGCCTATAGGGCAGGGGTGGCCAATGCATTGCGATACGCACTTTTATCAATTGATCGAATTGTAACAAGACTTCAATTTGATCCGTAACAAGAGGCCACTTATTTTTTATACGTGTTCATGAATGTGTGTTTGTTTACTGTGTGCGGGGATTAAAAATTAAAGATTAAAGATTCCAGATCTGACGAATGTATTTATAAAACAGCGTAATAGTGCTGGGTTAGCCGATGCTTTGCGATACGCGCTTTTATCAATTAATTGAATTGTAACAGGACTTCGATTTGATCCGTAACAAGACAACACTTATTTTTTCTTATACGTGTTCAAAAATGTGTGTTTGTTTACTGTGTGCGGGCATTAAAGATTCCAGGTCTGACGAATGTATTTATTAAATAGCATATAGGCCTATAGGGCAGGGGTGGCCAACGCATTGTGATACGCACTTTTATCAATTAATCGAATTGAAACAGGACTTCAATTTGATCCGTAACAAGAGACCACTTATTTTTTCTGATTCGTGTTCCAAAATATGTGTTTGTTTACTGTGTGCGGGGATTACAGGGGGAGAAGCCCATCCCCTCGACATGTGATCCAGAGTATGGGGATACATTTTTCTCAAAATGCACACAGCTCTGATATCCTTGCCCAGTGATCACTCGCCATGGAACTCTTTCTGTTGTGACTGTAGACACAAGTTTCTTCATTATCACATCTGAATGAGCCTCTCATTCATGCATTAGAAATCACACTCCCAACACACAGAAAATGACTTTGAACATATATTCAGGAAACATATGCCAGTTCCACTCTTGTTTACTTTGTTTTGCATTATTGGCTTTTATGTGTAAAACAATATTTAGAGGCCTTTTCTGCATTTTTGTGTTTTTGGCAGCATGTACAATAGGCCTATGTATTTTATGTGCAACCGACACATTCTCCAATCGTAGATCTAGTACTAATCAAGACTATATCTAGATACTTTTCCAACAGAGTTAATGTTCATAATTAGTGTTATTATCAAGTGTATTGTGATTGTGAAGATCTTTAGTAGATCTAGATCTAGTACTAGATCTAGAGATCTAGATCTATCTAGATCTAGATCCCATCCCATCCCATCATTAAAAAAACAACAACAAACCAACAATACAGATACAAAAACATTGTAACATTGCCAATTATGACATATTGTTGGCAGTAAAAATGTACTAGACTATTTCACTATATTTCCACTTCGAAGAAAGTTTTAAAATACTGATGTAACTTAATGTAAGGTGTCTTCCAAGCCCTACCACTAGCATCAGCGTGCATAGCAACGCGAAGCCTCGCTGTGCGGCGCAGCCAAAGGTGCCCTCAACTGGCCGCCATGTTTTAGTTTCAATTCCTCACAGCGAATCGGCGATCGCGAAGAGGGAGTTCCGCTTCTATAAGTGTAGAATTCTGTGGATAATACCCACTTTAGGTGTATGTCAAGATATCTGGAAACCCCCGAAATCTGGGTTAGCCCGTTTGTCCTTAAAAGCGACCAATTATAGATCACATCATGAAAAACAAACAAGACAAAAAAAACAAACATGCAGAAAAAAGGAACCAGAACAAGGTAACAAGTCAGTTCTTTAAAGAACATGTTTATTTCAAAATTCAAGGTGTAATTTGATTACCATAATACATTCACAAGATTAAATCATTTAAACAAAGATAAGAAATTTAAGTGATTATTATTCCCGTAGATCAGCACTGTGAATTATGCCGGTACAAGGACTTCAGTTCACTTCTTCTACTTGTTGCAGTCACAGCAGATTTTGCAAAAAAAAGATGTTTTGAATATTTTGACCGATTCACCCTTCAAAACTCAAGACCAAACCTACGTAATACTATATAAAGAGGACCAAACGCTATCAACGTCTAACTATACAGACAGGTACAAGTTTATTCAAATTTGTATATGTATATATATATGTATCTATGTATATATCAACAGTAACAAGCATTTTCATCAGCGACAAAGTAGTTCATTACCGTATTGGACAAG